GGATGCAAATTAGGGCATAACACCTTGTCCATCTTTCTGCCCCTTTCTTTTCACAAACCCAATGATGGTTGGCCTTCAGTTGTGCCCTGGAGGCAGTGAAGTTGGTGCTATTGGCAGCTGCATATGATGGAGTGGTGACCTATGCAAATCAGCATTGCTGCTGGGATCTTCTGTCTTGCCCCAAATTTTACTACATAGGGATCATGGACCTGACAAGGTGGGACTATTTCTCCAGCACCCCTAATACCTAGCCCCCAACCCCAATTTTCCAGGACCCAGCACTCAAATACAGCAGCTTTTAACCCTCCCTTCCTCATTTCCCAGTCCTCAGTTCTCCTGGTTCCTCAGTCCTCATGTTTTCTCTGTTCTGTGTACACTATTCCCTTGCTACCTCCCTCCCAGTAACTCTTGGCTTCCTGTGTCCCACCCCAGTGGCATTGTGAAGAACTGTGAGCCAGCCATTCTGCACCGAATCCTGAATCTTGTCAGGAACCTCCTCTATAGCTTTGATGATCGTCGGAAGATCCTGGCCAGGACCTTCTATGCGCAGGTGAAAGCGTGGGGAGAGGGTCACAGCTCTAGCCATACGTTTCCCATTAGCTAAGGAACATTTAACACAAATGTTAAATAACTTGGCACAGAGAGTGGTTAGAATAGAACAGCCATCTAAAGTGGGATTTCCTTCCCTGCCACTTTAGGAGCCTGGTTAAAAGAAGCAGGGAAAGCCTGGGGAGGGGATCCCAGAATGATCTATGGATCCCAGCATCTGGCCCCAAATTCGAACCTTATCAGTGTTATCCTCCTTACCTTAGTCTCTACTCCATATGTGCAGATCCGCCACTGCTCTTCACTGGACACAGTCCTTACCTGATTATGGGGCCTGATGGAGGGTTGAGGGGGGCACTGGGTACCCATGACTTTTTCTCCATCCATAGCTGTAGTCTCCTTGCACCCACAGCTCCTCTGGCACCGATCAGTGGCTCAGACTCTGGGGCAAGACTTTTCGGGCAATCTAATCAGGTGGATCAAGGAGCCCAACCTCATCATGAAGGAAGTTGGGCTCCGTGGAATCAGTAACCTGGCACTGCACCCAGGACAAGTAAGAGTGGGTTGACCAAATGGGAATTGAGTGCTAATCTCTGAACTATTTAGTTTACCTCCCTTGGGTGTGTTAGTTACCTGGAGCTTAGTATATTCCCTAACCCCTCCTCCTAGGGAAGTATAACATCCAGTGTGTAGACGTACACAGACTGGCCATCAGGCCTCCCAAAACCCCTGAGTGCCACCCTTCAGCTTCCTCGGTGCAGATTCCCTGTGTTTGTTTCTCTTAGGCACCATCTGTTTTCTCAAAACCTTGTCCCTAAAGTGTTGCATGATCCCCAGATGGTGAGTGATATCTGCCTTCTTCCAAATAGTCAGAGTCTCTGAAGAGCCTGGTTCCATTCTTACGAGACTTCCTGAAGAGTGAGGTGCGAGTGACAGTTCAGGCAGTGAAGAGCCTGCGGAACATCATCTGCCATGGGCAGGGAGAGGACACCAAGGTGGTCTTTTCCAGCATCTCCAAGCAACTGTGTCCTCTTATCAATGATGTATGGGCCTAATTCCCTAGGATCAGTTGGGAACAGTATGGGCTAGGACTGAACATGAACCCCGGGAGCTGAATTAAGGCTGCAAGGGCAGGGCCATGGGACTGCAGTGGAAGGATGAAGTCACTGAGGGGCAGAAAAATGGAGACTTGGCTACTAGAAGCAGTGCATAGGACACGTCCTGAATTCATTCCCTGTTACAGATAGATGTAGCACACACTCATCCACTTACTCTCTTACCAGAAGTTCCCTGAAGGAGCCACTGAGGGGAAAAAAGTGACATACTGATAGGAGATTGGTTCTGACTCCAAGGATGTTCTCTTGCAGACTTGACTCATGGAGTGAGGAGTGGGGAGAGAACTCATGACTTCTATCCTCCTTCCAAACAACACAGGGACCCTAGAATGCTAGGAGCCTTGTCATGGGACCCAAAGTCTCAGAAATGTGAACTTCTCAGACCAATACCAACCGACTCCGCATCTCATCCTCCTTACAGATCATAGAATTTTAGAGCTGAGGGCCCTTGACATCAGAGATGTATGCTTATAATACTCCTGTTCTGGCACCTACAACTTTTTAGTTTTTTAACCTTGGATGTGAATTATTTTTGAATCAGTCATATCTTTTCTATGAGCCTGGACACCCCATGATGGCAGGGACAATGATTCATCTATTTTTCAGTTACTTTTAAAATTCAACATGTATACTCAACGAAGCATAAAGATAATCTTTACTTTCCATCCAAACAATATAAGAACCTTAAAATGCTTAACTCTGATTATACCCTCCTATTTTAAGCATTAATATTATCTAGTGTTTTAGTTCCACATTCTTTTAAAATCCCCAAATTTGGTCTTTAATATCATCATCAGCATCATCGTTATTTTATACAGTCAATACTTATTTAGATTTACCCATGTTTGTGAATTTCTTTGTTTACCTTTCCTTCTCATAGCTGTTTCCTAGGGCCCTTTTAGATTATTTTTTTTTTCTTCCTTCATGGCTTCTTCCATGAGGGTCTATTAATAGTAAATGTTTTCAGTCTTTGTCTGAAAATGTCTTTATTTTGTCTAACATTTGTCTATAGTTGTCAGCAGTTTAGGGTATGTTGGCATGAATTTCTTTAGGTTTAGCCTGTTTGGGGTTCACTGAGTTTCTTAAAGTCTCAATGTATGTCTTTACTAAACTTTGAAAGTTTTTAGCCATCATTCAAATTTTTTTCAGCACCACAATTTTTCTCCTCTAATTTTAGGAATCTGATGACACAAATGATTCTCCTTATTGCTCTTTCTCTCCTCTGGCTCAACACCTAGCCATTACATTAATGCTAACTGCATTCCCTATGCCATGCTCCCCATCCCCGTGACCATCTATCAACTACTAATTTGTACTTCTTCAGCCCTTCACCCCTTTCTCCTAGCCCCCCAACCCCCTCCCCTCCCCTCTGGCTGTTACCAGCTTGTACTCTATATCTATGAGTCTGTTTTTGATTAGTTTGTTCTTGTCACCAGCTTGTACTCTATCTGTGAGTCTGTTTTTGATTAGTTTGTTCTTTTTGTTCCTTAAATTCCATATATAAGTGAAATCATATGATATTTTTCTTTCTGACTTATTTTACTCAGCATAATAACCTCTAGGTCTATCCATGTCATTGTTAATGGTAAGATTTCACTTTTTTAATGGCTGAGTAATATTTCATTGTACATATGAACCATAATTTCTTTATCTAATCATCTGTTGATGGGCATTTAGGTTGCTTCTCTATCTTGTCTATTATAAATCACACTGCCATGAACATAGGGGTGTATAGATCTTTATGAATTATTGTTTTGGTTTTCTTTGGATAAATACCCAGAAGTGCAATTATTGGGTCAAAAGGTATATTCATTTTTAACTTTTTGAGAAACTTCTAGACTGTTTTCCATAGTGGCTGTACCAATTTGCAATCCTACCAACAATGTATGAGGGTTCCCTTTTCTCCACATCCTCA